GAGTACTCATTGTGTTATTAGCTGACTAACTCCACCAAAGCCTAGTCATCCAGAGCAACTTGAAAGCACTGTTTCTTGGTTTCTATTGCCCTCTCCTGGGACAATCTGGAATTACACCCATGCTCTGAGGCGCAATGCAGACCGTGGGAGGCACAGTAGTGAGAGAAGGAATTTCATAACCTGACATCTATGCACGGCTGAAAGACACCAAGTGATGACACACATTGGTGTCATGTGCCTCATTAGAATCCAGAGCTTGGTCCTTCCAAGACTGACACCCCACTCTGTCAAGTCACTGACCAATGCCCAAAGTCAGGACAGGGGAGAGGACAGAACAGAAGTCCCATCGTGGCTTCTGCTAAATCCTGTGTACACTTGCAAGGAGCTGAAGAGATAATGTAGGGCTTAGCATGGTTGTGCAGTTGTTTGTAGTGGGGTAGCTTTTATACAGGGATGTGAAGGTCAGCCAGTCTTGGATGAGAAGGGTGGAGAGGCCAGGGTTGACTGGTACCCGGGCCGTGAGCCCCTGACTGGAGTACTTGGGGGCTGCAGGGTGCAGATATGGTGGGGCAGACAAAGGTGCTTATCTATGCCCATATATGACCTCTCCCATCCCACTCCTTTCAGGGTTTCTGTATGCGCCTGGGTGTACTAGTGAGGATGACTTAAGGACCTACATGAATGTGGCCTTGTGGCTTGAGAAGCAGTGTACTAGGCACAGCCAGGTCCACACATGTACCTGCATACAAGGTCAGTTCAATTCCTTTCACTCTTGAGAAACCCCCTAAACTCTGTGCCTCAGTTTCTCCAGTCCTTAATTATTGATACTGCACTCTCCAAGCATGTCTGTGACACCATGCTGTCCTCCTGAGGCATGAGGGGTTGAAAGGCCAGTCCTACCTTCAAGGGTGCCAGTGGCAGGAGGTGCCAAACTCCTTAAGTGGTGGAGCAAGAGGAGGCATAAGGACAACATCCTTATGGGGTCCAAGAGCATTCTGCAGAAGACCTGTGGGACTGACCCTGGGGAAAGTGACCACTGAGCAGTCTTCCCTCCTGGTACCCTGGGGAGTCCTGTCCCTTGGCAACACATGGTTGGAAGCTTTGGCAGGTGGGCATTTCCTAAGACATAGGATCCCTGGCCCAGGCAGATCCTTCCCATCTGGGCTGGGTCGCAGATACTGAACCACATGGGAGCTCTCTGCAGGCCATGCATCACAGTCACTAACAGATCTGCTTGAGGTCGACTGGCTTTCCTTCCAGAAAACCCAGAGGAATGTGAAGGGCTGTTGTCCAGGCCTGAGCTCACTTCCCACACTCGGCCAGGGGGTCTGATGTTTCTGATGTGACCACTCAGCAGAATGTTTCTCATGAGACCTATGAATATAGGTTCACAGGAAGTTTAACAAACCGTAAGTTGTGGGGAAGACCCCTGCCCCTGTCTAGCACATACCGTAAGGCCCACAATGATGGGTTATAGTGCTGCTATTGCCTGTCACAGAATGTTCAGCTCCCCATCCTGTGAGTCCCAAGAATGTCACTGCAGGGTTCCTTCCAAAGGCTGCTTATTGAAGGCTTGGTTCCCAGACAGTGTTGTGGGGAAGTGTGTGACCTAGTCAGAGATGGGGCCCAGAGGGAGGAGCTTAGGCCGCTAGGGGTGTGCCCAGGATGAAGGGTGTCTGTGAACCTTGGTCCCTTCCTGTCCACCCCAGGAGTGCAGTGTTGATCTAGTGATCACAAACTCCCCATGTGATTTTATGCTTCACCAGACTATGGGCGGACACCTCAGAAACTATGAACACAATGAACCTTCCCACGTCCCTGATTTTCTCAGGTGTTTTTATACTCACCTGCTGCTGTGTCTCATCAACGGAACCAGAGTGTGGGGATTTAGTCTCTTTTCTCCTCAGCATGTGGGGGCATGGGGGGGGGCTCCATCTGATCTTCAGAGCTGGCTTCTGGGATTATTGCCTCCACTGTGACCCTTTCTTACTGACACTCATATTATCACTTCTTTTTTTTTTTTTTTTTTTTTTTTTTTTTTTTTTTTTTTTCTTGTTTAACCCTCTATTTTTTTTCCCCCCTTTTTTCCCTTTTTTTTCTACCCTCTTTTTTTCCTTTTTTTTTTTTTTTTTTTTTTTTTTTTTTTTTTGCTTCCTGGTTAAGCCTGCTTTGCTATTTCCCCCTAGTTTCCCAGAAGTCTTGATTTTAAACTTCCCTTCTCATATAAGCATTTAAACCTATAAATCCCTCAAGCATGGCTTTGATTGTGTCTCTCAAATCTTGACATTTTCATTACACTGAAATAGTTTAAATTTTCTCTAGTCCTTTTCCTTTCCTTTTTCTGCCACTTTTAGAAGTAGGTCATTTGATTTGTGAAACAGGGCTTTCTCATGTCCTCAAATTTATAATCCTCTTGCCTCAGCCTCTGAAGTGTTGGAGTTACAGGCATGTGTCAAGCATGCCTACTTGGTCTGGCTTTGGGCTTCTTTGGGGTTCCTCTGCTGTGTTTTCTGCAGTGGCTGGGCACCTAGCTGGTGTGATGGGCTGACAGCATCACCTTCATTTCTCTCTCCTTCCATGTTAGCTGCTGATGATGGATGGCAACCACAGAGGTGGACAGATGCTTCAATGGGTAACAGGACTCTCTGTGTAAGCACAAACTCAGTTCAAGCCCCAACACCCACATGGAAATCTAGGTGTGCTTGTTTGCACCTGTAACCCCAGTGCCATGAGAGGCAGATGGTAGAAGCATTGAGACATGCTGGCTGCCAGCCTAGCTCCAGGTCAAGTCAGAGACCCTGTCTCAAAGGATTGAGGCAGAGAGTGATGCAGCAGGCCACCTGATACCCCTCTGGTCTCCACATATGCACGGGTGTGCTATCTGCACACCCCTGTGCATCTACCACACACACCATATGGATACATAGAGAAAATAATCTTTAAAAAAGTAAACTATATCAGCTAGCTGTGCTTAGGAAGGCAACTGGTCTCCCAAGAACAGAGTGTTCTTTCACATGTCCTCTTTACCTTAGCAGAACTTCCACCAAGTGCTCTCTTTGTCCTAAGGGATGCTTTTTATTATGCAGTCTACTGTGCGTGATACTGCCATGGCCACCTGGCTTCATGCCGCCTCCTGTTAGCCCCATCCATTTGCCCACTGTGTGTCAGTCTGGGGTGTAGTTCGCTTTGCATTTTGCCCATCTGGGTCACCTGTCATCTTTTGTGACAGTGCCTCTGGTGCACTGACCATACCTGGTTGATGCCCCTGAAGACAGGTCCCAGGCCTTCCTCAGAGGTGGAGCAGCAAGCAGCTTGCTTGGCTACCTTGAGTACTTCTACTACAGCCTCTTTGCTGGGCTCTGGGCACAACAGGAAGGAACCAGAGGTCACTTTAACAAAGTTACCGTTCTGTGGGAACACGGCAAGGCCCTCTCTGCTTCACAACTGTTCTGACAAAGCATGGTGGTCCTAGGCTGAAATGCTATGTGGCCATCAAAATTTATTGGCTCACCTGACTGCCCATCACCCAGCATCCACCCACCCATTCCATCTGTCTCTCCATACGTCTATCCACTCATTTCCACTGGACTGAGGGACGGACCATCCACTGAGCCATCTACCCACGCACTGATCCATCCAGTCACCCGGTGGCTATCCACTTGCTTACCTGTGCACCTGCCACCTGTCCACAGCTTATCATTCTTTCTTCTGTTCACCCATCACGTCTGCCTCAGTGGCCTTTCCCGCGGATCCTCACAACTCTGCTGCACTGTTCTGTGCTTTGCTTCTGCACCATCTGTCCTCTGATCCCAATGTGAATACATCATTTCTGGTCTTGGCTCAAGCCCATCTTTTCAGGGTCTCTTCACATGCTATCTGTCCTGACAGCTTCCTTACATGCACATTTTCATGTGGAATGAGCAAGACCATGTCTGTCACATGCCTTTGCGTACTACAGGAACTTGTGAAAGTTTCCTGCCTTGGAGTTTCCAATGGGGAGGAGGTCAAGACCAGGGCCCTTAGACAGTGTGGCGGCCCTTTCTTTGCACAAGGCAGAGGAGCAGCCTGCAGAAGACCCATGAGGGCTGGACAGTGCTCACCAGCAGGCAAGCCTGTCCAGGAGGAGGAGTTCTGGAGCCGACACAGCTCCAGACTTTAAAACTACAATCAGTGAGGTTGTCTCAGAAGCCAGCAGGACCACAACGCTGCCCCTCAAGGTGGCTCCTTCCCCTGGCACTTGAAGAGCTACTTCATAGGCCTGAGCTAGATGAGGTCTAATGATCCTTTATTAAGTAGTCACTTTCTTCCATCCAGCCAAGGACCAATGCTACACAGACCTTGAGTCACTGTGTGCCAGGCATCTGCTCAGGGCTTCCTCCCATCGTCGTCTCATTTGACCCGAACAGCGGCACCCTGAGGGGGAGATTATGTTCACTTCATGGATGAGAAACCACAGTGGCTTCCCACAGCCTCTAAGACTTCATGCATCTCAACCTCTGAAGATGTAAAGCCTGACTACTTCTGCTGCCGTGTGTCTCACGACTGTGTGAAAGCTCCTGCACCCGCTACTGCTGTGTGTCTCACGACTGTGTGAAAGTTGCTGCACCTGAGGGGCTCATGGTATTGTTCTCTGAGGCTACCTGCAACTCTTCACCATCACAATGGTTAGCTTTCTGTGTGTGCTCTATTTCTCAACAGCACACGGGTAAGGGAGTGATCAAAGCAATGTGCCATTGGCTCATGGCCTCTTGGCATTTCTGTGAATCCGATACCCTTAATTCACGCTGCATCAATGAAGTCCAGTCAGGTATGTTGGTCAGTGACCCCTGGGCTCCCTCTTTCAACAGAGAAACCCAGCCTGTGAACTGATAACGAACAGTGACACCTTGTGGGGAATCTAAGAAACAGCTTTTCCTGACTGCAGTCTTGCCTGGAAAGGGGATGCTTAAGATCTCAGAAAGTTCTTCACTAACAACAAAAGCGCTCAAGTCAAAAGGCACTGTAGGGACCAATGAAGCTTTATTTGCAGTCAAAGAGTTTCTCCTCTGAAGAGCAGTGCTCACAGGAGCCTAGGTGGAAGGTTCTGCACAGACCATGGCCTGTTAGGGCCATGTCCACAGTGCTCTGCTCACCCAGCTTGTCCTTCCCCAAGGGTTAGGGTCTCAGGGCCCACATCTGAGGGGAAGTCAGGCTGAAGAGCATAGGCATATACAAAACTAGTGCAAAGGAGACTCCCACAGCCTGCTGTACAGTGTGAAGAGCTGAGGTCACAGGTCATTGTGTGGCGGCCACACACAATGTGCAGAGCTGCACGCACACAATACTTGGGGGTGAATTAAGTCCAGCATCCCTCCAAGGAACTCCCATCAGCCCTCAGTGCAGCCTTCGACAGGGGATCTGCCATCACAAGCTCAGAGTACTGAGAGTAGCCACATGGCCTAGGGACACCTACTGAGGAAGCAAAGCATTGTGGTGCTGTGAGTTGCACAGGACAGCTGAGTTCTACGTAAACAGTTTTGAATATGGTTTTACAGATATAAAAATGTATCAGCTAACGGCAGTGCCTCGAGGAATGGTTTACATTCATAGCTGCAACGGAATTAGGATATCAGAAGTGTCACCGCTTGGCCACTTGGGCTTGTTAAGTGTGTGGTGTCCACTGAAAAGCAAAACTGCATCTGAGGCGGAGTGTGCCAGTGGCAGAGGGCAGACGAGCAGGCCCACTGTCTGCTGAGGTGCAGTGGCATGTGCAGGCATGGCATCTCCAGTCTGAGCAGGAATGGCTTTCTACAGTACACCGTCAAAGAAAGGAGGCGAATGCTGGGACACTGCAGAAATTATGCTTGCGATGCTCAGGAACTAAACCCTGCCCAGCTGTGCCGAAGCAATCACTTCCTTTCAGTAGCTGTTCACGTTGCTTCAGTACAGACACTGGGAGGAAGGCCAGGTGAGCTCAGCCCTCAGCCCACCAGCAGTGCCAGTCCCTCATGCTGCCCAGCGCAGGAGTGTCTCTACCTGGCCTCATGTCATACTCAGGAGGACAGCTTGGAGTAGCTGGGAGGAGACAGCTTTCGCTTCAAGTACTTGAGCACGTAGAGTGGAAGGCAGCTGACCACAGTGATGGCTGACACTTTCCACAAGAAGGTCACAGTTGTGATGAAGGCAACATCTGTCGGGAGGAGGAGAGGAGAGACTGAGAGCTAGCTATAGGAGCTCCTAGCCCCTAAGATCATAGCCACAGACCAGACTGTGCATCCCCAGAGCCATAGGCTCCATTGTGGGCATGCACAAAGGTCTCTTGCCCTTGACCTTGACTGCCCTCACTACCCAGCTGTCTGACCTGTACACCTGTTCAATTTGTGCTTCTTTCAACACAGTGAGCACATCGTGGCACTGGGAAGGGCTTGTACATGGCTAACAGGTAGACAGCATGTTCAGCATGACTTACAGAGGACACAGGCTCACTTTGCTGTTAACAAGACCATCAAAGTCCCCATGGCAAGACATGTGTGAAAAGTCTCATCTGTGCATAAGAGTCTACAAACTGTAGAATCCCCTAGACTGCTACCAGAGCTGAGAGAAGAGGTTCTGCTCACCAGTTACAGATTACACTGGGGCCTGGGACTGGGCTCTCCACGCACAGCTGGAGAAAAACCTCTAGCTGGCATTTTCAGGCAGGTCTGTTTTAGGGAGGACAGACAGAACCTAGGAGTACACTGTGCAGGTAAGGTAGCTCAGGGTGGCTTTACAAGGTCTTAGTTGGTGAGGAGTGCTGAGTTAGAGGAAAACTGGTTTTTATTTGAACTTGAAAGAATTAGCCTAGTGTGCCCACCAATGCTGTTTTGCTAAATGTCTGTACTCTGGAAGGGAATAATAACTTTACCTACCTAAGAAAGCGCCGAAAGACACTCTGCCTATACCTGTGCCAAGAGAGAACATGAGTAAAGCAGATGAAGGAGAGGCTGAAGGAGGCGCAGGCGTTTTAAGTGGTTAGTTAGCTACTCACTGGAGAAATGCATTAAAGAGCAGTACAATGTCAGCATGAAGTGCATTCGTGGTGACATTTGAAACGGAATGACAATGTACCACTCTGTCACTGTAACACAGAAGCAGATGCCCAGACCCGTTCCCTGAGTCTGTGCTAGTGTCTAAGAGTGTCTACTTCAGAGCACTGCACACCTGATGTTTTTATCTGAAAGTCCTTTCTCACATGCGACAGGCATAATGAATATATATATTTATATTAATGTTTCATGTTTCTTTTCATTTAAGCTAATTTTTCCACACCCCATCTGCACCATCCCATACCTGGTCTACAGAGTGATGGCCTATAGCAACTGAACATACTGTGGCTTTGATCCACCACCTAGAGGGGCTCTGTTATTCATCAGTGTGCAAACTCCACACTCATCACCCCAAAGTCACAGTGTCTCCATGTGATGTGCAGGGACCATAGGTGTGTGACTAGCTTGTATGGCAACTGTCATGATGGCTGCTGTCATGATGACAACTGCTCATGATGACAACTGTCATGATGGCTGCTGTCATGTGTGTGGAGAATACAAGCGGGACATGTAAAGCTTTCTCCTTTCTGGAGCCTGGAGCCTTTCTTTTCAGATCAGGAAGCACACTGCTTGGCTTTCAGGCAGCACCCATGGTATGGGTGCATGGACCGTGCCCACACCCTCTGCTTTGGAGTCTGGGAAGCTGGGCTTTCTGTATCCAGCAGCAGTGCAGCCCCACAATCACTGATGCTCAAATGAGCATCTGTCCTTTCTGCCTTGGTTTTTCAGCTCTTGGGAAATGATCAGACTTGGTGTCATCAGCACAATGACCAAGCCGAGGTGACCTGGCTCTGCCATTCTCAGTGTCTCTGGGGAAGAAGAATGATGAAACCTATTCATGCAGAGCAGAGTGGGCCAGGTGAGGGTGGAGCTGTGCTAAGGGACATCAGATACTGGGAATGTTGAGGACACACAGTGTAGATTCACAGATGGGCAACTCCTGAGCAAACAGCGACCTTTTTCCTAAGAGAACTGGGCTCAACTGGGCTCAGAGTAGCCCAATAGTCCCAAGATCACCTGGCCAATCACTGTGAGCTGGGCTGGGACAAGCATAAGGAATGCATTAGAATCAACAGGCAATGGACTTCATCTCAGGGAGGTGCTGGTAAAGACCTCTAGTCACACAGTTAAGAGCCTAAGACTACAATAAGGAGCCTGGCTGGCAGACAGCAGAAGGAAGCAGAAAACACATGGCTTGTGTCCACCCAGACCTCGTCTCTAAAAGTGCCTGCTTTGAAGCAGTCAGTGACTTCCACATGAAACCATAAACAGTACAGCTCTTGTACGAGAAACGACTGGAAACAAACATAAATAAGACTGTGAAAGTCTTAATTTTATAAATCACTATAAGATCTTTATCTTTCCATTAAAAATAAACTTCTGTGTTGCAAAACTTTCTGCTATGGGATTGGTGTACAATATAAGCTATTGAAGAGATAACAACAAAAGGTTAATTTGTTACAGATAATGGATCAAAGCTCCAAGCACTTACCAAAATACTCATTTAGAAAAGCAAGTGAGGCAACATAGCAGCCCAGACTGAGGAACTCGGCCACAACCATGAGCCAGTGCCATGTCCTGATGGTCAGAGCCACCATGAGCAGCTCAGTCAGAATCAGCGCTGTGAAGGAGATGGCCACGACATGGACGAACTCTGCCTCAAAGAGCACCAGGGCCCCGTACATGAGGATGCCACCTGCAAGAAAGAGGGCAGAGGAGACTCTTTCAGTGCAGCTTCTTTGCAGTCTTGGAAACTACACAAGCCAGCCAGAAATGGCTAGCATACACACGCTCAATAGGGACCAGGGGTGCAGACTCTCTTGGCAAGGACCGACAGTCCCGTCTGATGCTGGCATTTGCAGAGGTTCATCCACTTTAAAGATCTGTAGGAAGACAATGTCCCCCTTGGTTGACTTCACAGTGAGTCTCACACAAACTCTCTAGTCTGCCAGCCAGTTATGCTAAGGTAATCCATCCTTCACAGGAACTCCAGGAGATAGCAATGGCTTCCAGTCACACAACAGATATCTCAAAGCCTCACTATATCTTCCTACATCAAAGAAAAGCACTGTGCAGCACAATATACAAAGTCCTTGTTCCAGTTTTCTGATTAGCTGACACAATAGTTAAGAAGTACCAGTCTGGGGCCTTGAGATGCAGCTAAGTAGGTAGAGTACCTGCTTTGTATAAAGGAGGTCATGGGTTTGACCCTTAGCATCACACAAATTGGGCACAGTGACAAAACCTGTAATCCCAGCACTTGGAAGGATCAGGAGTTCAAGACCAGTCTCAGCTACAAAATGAGTTAGCCCATCTTGGGCTACAAGAGATGCTATCTCCAAAATTAAAATCCTCCAAAATCAAACCAAAACCAAAAGCTCTCTCCAGAATATCAATGCACACATCCACATGCTGGGATACCAATCTACAAGATATAGAGGCCAATATGTAACTGCTGAACAAATTTAAACTTGAAATTTAACTTGCAGGTGAAAACAGAAAACAGTATTGGGAGCTCTCTCTCTCTCTCTCTCTCTCTCTCTCTCTCTCTCTCTCTCTCTCACACACACACACACACACACACTTTGGTCTGGTAAAATCAGGGCCCATCTTACCTTGGTAAATACTGATCAAAACCCAAATGAGGAAGGTCTTGAAGGAAAGGGATCTCCCCTAGGACGGACAGTGGGTGGAACGGTTAGTTAGGAGAGCAGGGCAGCATGCTTGACTATATAATCCCAAGGGGCTGGGGGTTGGGAGTATCTCAAGGGCCCTATGTCCACCCATACGGTGACCTAACATGACAAAGGATACCTCAGGTGATGCTGTCCCCTGAAGAAGCTGCCTGGGTGTGCGTCATGGGTGTGTACTGAATGCCTGTGGATGGTTAGGGTCTTATAAGCCTTCTCCTCTCATCTGTGGAATTCTTAAGCCACAGCCATGTCGTTGAATGCCTACTAACCCAGAAGTTGGTATCTACAGACAAACATTTAACTGAACTAGAAGATAAAGACTGTAATAAAAATATTTTCTCTCTACTTGTTACTTTTTGGAAATAAATATTTCCTTCGCAGTTTTCTCTGAACTCCCCGACCCCCAAATAAAAATGGTGAAGGCATTTCAGTTATAACTTGTCCCAACTGGAATAAGAATTTCTGCCTTGGTAACCCTTTCAGGAAAACCTTCCACATTAGTAAGTCTAGCACAGACAGATGGGATGATTTCCTGTGTACTCTGCTTCACCTTTCCAATTAAGCACAGGCTTCAGTATGGGCCAGAGACAAGAGATGCTGCCAGTCACCTCCACTGAATCTCACAGCTTACGATATTTCAGTGCAAGGCAGCACTGTCAAGGCTCGGTGCCCTTACTCTCAGTGCTGGAGTCTATCAGGAAACATATGCCAGAGTAGGATGGGGTGAGCCTCTCCCTTATGGAGACACTTTCGTGCACCAGTCAAGAATGGGGGAGCCTGGCACTCTCCTTCGGCTCCCACTTGCATGCCTCTGGCACCCTGTGAATGATTTGAATCAGTGTCCAAAGTTCTGCATTTAATATGTCCCTTTCCCCCAGCTCCACTCCCTGGGAGAAGAGTTTCTTGTAGGAGATGTGGGTTTAGTGCCTTAACACAAGGACAGGTGGACTGTTAAGGGACAGACAGCTGGGTAGTTAAGGGAGCTTAATGCCCTTCCAACACAAGGTGGTGCCAGAACCACCTGGAGCTCCAGCTCCAGGGGATATGAACACACCTGGGCCTCTGTGGGCACCTGCACAATGCGGTGCACATACATGCATGCAGGTACATGTGCAGACTATAATTCAAGTTGTACTTTAGCTGTGAACAATAGTTACACGTTCATTTAAGCATTTTCCTTGGTTATAAACGTCCATCAGTGAAGATGCTGACTGAGCCCTGAGCTCACTACAGATGAGCATAGGAAGAATTCATCTATACTGCAATTTATTAAAGATAATACTGATTTTCAAAAGCAGAGAACTTCAGCACATTTCTTAAGCACCTATTTCATAAGAGCACTTCTCTTGTCAGACACTAGTATGTTTGGTCTTTGGCCATAAAATCCATCTGTAGTTAAGCATGTGACTAATTTTACTTCAGGAATTTAAAAGGAAATTTAACTTTAATGTTCTGTATAAGTAAAGAGATTTACTCAATAGCCAGATTTTCTGAAATGCAGAGACTGGGAGAAAATGATCAATTTAGATGTTGAAAGTTAATGGGGACATTTGTGCCATGTGTCTTATTAAGGCTCCAAACATATCATGGCATTAAGGCCACACATCCAATCTGCATGTATGACAACTGCTGACTCTATATAGGGCACAGATTAGTAAGTCTCTACATAATAAAAAGGGTATAAAAACCATCAGTAAGTCATTAGAGGAAATGTGCACAAGCCTCGTGTTCCTTGATGTAGATGCTTACAAATAGACCTTCGAGAGAAGGAATCTTACTCTGTGGTACAAATATATGAGCCACAGAAGCAACTCACTCACTGTGACTTCAAGCTGCTTCTAAACTGCTCTTCCTGATACAGGATGTCCATTCCTTTGAATGACAGGCTCAATCACTCCCTCAAGTATCAAAGACCAGGCCACCCAATAGGGACTCTGTCCATGTGCTAGACATGCGAGGAGCACACAGGCTCTGGACAGACATCGACAGTCAGCCTTGCCCAGAACACACCTCCTGTTTTATCTTCAGCTCCTGACTAAATCTGCATGTGTCAGTTTCCTCTTCTATGAAATACAGATAATGGCATGTACCACAGGTCAAATCAACTATACAATACAACATATAGAAACTATGAATGATAGCACATTCAATGGGTGTTACCATTGACATATCTCCAATTACACATTACACACTGACTGTAGTTGAACCAAATATGTAATAAAAAAGGAATTTTGCAAAAGGGTTAATCAGCCCCAGGATGACTAAAATCACTAGTATGAAAGCACAAAGTGTCACTGGATGAGGAATGCACGTGTAGCTCACAGTGACATGTGCTTATGGCACGCAAGTGGACTGGAACCATGCTGTGGCTACATGCAGCTAACAGGTGTGCACACTGATGTCACATGAGCAGACCTCTCCCCCGGGTGCCAGCAGAGGGACAGTCTTGCACACTGATGTCACATGAGCAGCCCTCTCCTCCGGGTGCCAGCAGAGGGACAGTCTTGCTTTCTCAGAAGTGACAGGACGCCCTCTTTCATCCCAGGATTCTCCCAGCCCATCTCAACTAACTTTGCTCATATCAGTCACAACAAAATGATTGCTTCTGTCCTATTCCCAAGGTTGAAATGGGGAGGCAGGGGCCAGAGTACAAATATCATAGAGGCAACTAAAAAATGAAAGAAAATAGTATAGACGCAAGAAGAACAAAAATGGTTTCTTTGCTGCACACGGCAATGTCACAGAAAGACTTGTTAGCCAACTGGTAATATTTTTGAAGACCAGAAAGCAGACTGAGCAATCTGGTAGGTGGCTGAGTGCCCTCGGTTAGTCTGCATCTAGGCCAGAGTCAGGGCTGACACACACAGTTCAGAAAATCACTCTGTATCCCCACAGGAGCTGTAACAGCAGAGGACAGTTGCTACAGACTCTCCAGCCTGGCCAGGAGCTTGCTATACCCTTGGACACTCAGCAATAATTAATCCAAAAAATGCAATTTTGAGAGTTCTTTATGTATTATGAATAAAGTCCTTTTTCAGAGTGTAACTTGCAAATATTTTCTCCCGGTCCATGGTGTGGCTTCATGTTTCATTTTCCAAACTATGTAATTCATAAAGCAAAACTTAAAAATTATGATGAAATCCAATTCATTCTGTCCTTTATGGATCATAGTTTTGATCTATGTCTAAAAACTTAGTCAAGGTTATGAATTATTTTTTCCTGTATTTCTTCCAGGAGGCCTACAGTTTACATGTACAGCAATGGTCACTTGAATGCCTATGCACACATGGAGTGAGGGAGTATAGGTTGCTATGTCAGTACAACCAGCTGTCCTGACATCTGTTGACACCACCCCTTCTTCCACTTAGTTCAAGGTCAGTGGGCAGTGTGGATTCTCTTCTCTCCTCTTATGTATCTGTCCTGTCTGCTGCCCTTACTGTTAAGTCTTGAAATACGAAAGTGAGCTAACCAACTCTGCTCTTTTTCCAAGCCGTTTCAACAAAGCCAGTTTCCCTGCCATTCCATCTAAATTTTAGAGCCATTTTATTAATAATCAACAAAGTTCAGTCCCCAAATCAAAAACTTCCCTTTACATTTTAAAAATCTTTCAAAGGTATGTCATAATTCCTGTGCATGTGTCTTGCATATTTTATCAGAGCTATAATAAAAGTGCTTGGCTTGTTTATATTACTAAAAATGATATTTTTGGGTCTAACTAATACTAACATACTAGATTTAGAAATCACATAAAATACTTTTATCTTTTTTTTTGAGATTTCAACATAATTATGGTACCTGAAAAAGAAATTAAAATTTTTTTCTTTGTAAAATTCTGTCCCTTTAATTTTCGGTTTTATTCAACATTGCTTTAGAAATGACACAAGGGTACATATACACATGTTAAAAGATAGAATCATTTTGAGAATATTCTGCAGAAAAGAAGAAAAGGTAGACAGGTGCAGGCTTCTTCTGAAGGGCCATCTACAATTACTTACTGGGTAGTTTTGCAACTGGTTAGAAAACAAACTAGCTCTGCCATGAGCCAATAATGGAAGACTGTGACCTGTCTCAGCTGGTGTCGAGTCACCTCAGTAGCCCTGATCTCAGACTCACTAGCTCTCTTAGAGTGTGTCCATCAGACACAAAGAAACTTGCAGGGCTGGGGAGTTTCTGTGGAGGCTGAGTGAATTCAAGAGAAGTTTAGGTATTGTTTAGGCCTGGGCAATAGAGATGTCTGGTATCTGTCTGTTTACTAAAGAGTTGAATGAATGAGGGAGTAAATCAACCAACTACACCAAAAGGCAACATTTCCTGCATTCTCAAAAAATACCAGTTTGCTTTCCTTCTAGAAAATAATGTATTTGTAACAAATATTTCTAGTTCTTCGTGTGAAACCCAGTTATGCTCTAAACTGTTACACGGTGCTTCTCTAATAGGTCCACAATTAGCAAATCTGATTAGAGCAGTAAGGTGGATCTGTAATGCTTGCACTGTTCATACTTTTGACTAAAACTTACAAGTATCAAGTACATATAGAAAACAGTGTGTGGTGGTTTGAAAGAGAATCGTCCCAAAGACTCAACTTAAATACTAGTTGGTGGACGGGTTTTGTGAAGAATTAGGAGGTGTGGCCTTATTGGAGGGGATGAATGTGTCACCTGGGGTGGGCTTTGAGGTTTAAAAAGCCCATGCCAGGGCCAGACTCACTCTCTGCCTCTTCCTTGTGGATCATGTGTAGGCTGTCGGCTACTGTTCCAGCTCCATGTCTGTTCATTGCTGCTATGCTCACTGCCATGCTGGTCACCGACTGTCCCTCTGAACTGTAAGCAAGTCCCCAATTAAAGGTTGTCTTTTATTAGTTGCCTTGGTCATTGTGCCTCTTTGTAGCAACAGAATAAGTGACTAAGTCACAGAGTATTTGTTGCAAAGAATACAGTATCTCCCTTGGTAGCTTTGACTTTGGCTGGACAAGATTAGCAGTGGGTAACTGTTACAAGCTATGGCTTATTTCATGCAGTGTCCTCTGCTACTACCCTGGCATTTATCACAAATTATACGGTTTCTTCTGCTGGTAAAATGGAGGCTCATTGGGAGTGGGAGCAGGGACTATACCTCATGTCCTTTGGTTCGTACATGAGCACTTGGTGGCCCATCTCTGGTCCAATGATTATTAAAGGATGGAAAGAGCAGCCGTGTGGATGTCTCGCCAAAGTGTTCAGAAGAAACGAAAAGCGTCAAAATGGCTCTTCCAATTAAGCTAAGATAGGTCAACTTAATCTACCTGCTAAAACTGTTTCTGAAGGATTTGAAGTATATAGACCTGTAACATAATAAATTCTATAAAGATAAAAATGACTGCTTTCTGGATTGTGAAAAAAGAGAAATTCGAGAAAATGGGGAACTGAATTGTTAAAACAATTACTAGGGATCATTTTGGGATGTTAAGACATTCTAAATTGTTGGCCTTTACAAAAATGGAAACTTAACACAGATGAGATAACAATCCAGTTCAGACTGCACAAGAAACTCCTTGTGTTTATATGGTGTGAGCTAGTGATGAATTACAGCTAGAGACAATGAGCTTGTGACCCTATACACAGTTTTGTACTAGAGTAATTTCGGTGCCTGAAATGATACTGGTGGCTCCTTACAAGGCCTAAATCATTACAAGTGGTAAAAGCCATGCTTCCTCTACTGCCTGTGGAAGCCTGTGCCTGCCAATCATTTCACTCCTATTGCTGAGAACCCCTCCAAACCTGTGAGGCAGTCCATAACTCTGAGCAGCATGACTTAGTGTCCTAACTAATGGGTTACAGACTGCCCAGGTTTAAGAAGGGTGGGGTAAGCCCGGGCGGTGGTGGCACATGTCTTTAATCCCAGTACTCGGGAGGCAGAGGCAGGCGGATCTACAAGAGCTAGTTCCAGGACAGCCTACAAAGCCAGAGAAATCCTGTCTAGAAAAATCAAAACCAAAACCAAAAAAAAAAGACGAAGAAGGGTGGGGTAGCAGGTAGGGTGTCTAAACTTGTATCAAAAGCTGGTTTCCATCTTCCTTTTGTTAACAAGTATTTGCAGACTACATGGAGACACGAGCCACTAAAACTAATCATTTGCAATAACTCCCTATAGTTTTTGTTTCTTTGACCCTATTCTGGGTCTATCACAGTGGTCTCATTTTAGGGTTTTAGATTCGGAGTGTTCTTTCTAGTTGTAACATGTATAAATTTGGGACAATTTCTTCTGGTAGCTACCATATTATCGTCATGTATAATCATAGTATCATCAGGATGATGGATGATATTTATACCTTACTTTATGCTATAATAATGAATGTTTGTTTAATCTGAAAATAGGATTACATGCACATTATAGCTCTTTTGAGAGGCATTAAGTTTTATAAATTTGGTCCTTATAATAACACAATGAAACCCCTAAAGTAACATGACTTTATCCAACACCTATCTGGTGAACTTATGGTCAGCTGAACTAGTCTGGTCTACTAGTCAGCAGTCAGCTGGATTATGGTCTAGCCCATTAGGTAGCAGTCAGATGGATTACCGTCTATCCCATTAGTTGACAGTCAACTGGATTACGGTCTAGTCTGGTAGTTGGCAGTCAGATGGGTTGCATCTTATTCTGCTAATAGTCATCTGGACTAGCAAGTAACTCCCTGAATAGCCAATCTAATTCTTCCTTCATTATATCATATTGATACTGCTTTAAATTGGAGATGATAATTTCAGGTAACTAACTGAAAACCTAAATTTAATTGAAGTTCGTGGTTTTGTTGTCTGTGCTGGTTTAGGAAAAGCTAGCTAGCCATGCAAAAGACTCTGGAGTTACAACAGTGTGTATGTAAGGGGCTCAGCTCTCCCTCCACCCTTGGGTTCTTGGTTTTAGCTTTAAGAATATGCTCTGATGTAGCACATGGCCAACTTCACACCTCCTTAGGAACTGCTTATTCTTCAGAGCGCAGGTACTGGCCGAGCAGGCCTCTTCACAGTGGCAGCTTCAGTTTTTCCAGGGCAGCACAAGTCTCCAGGACAGAGGCATGCTGGGAACCACTTCCAAGGTGTGATTCTGAAACCCACAACTAGACAACTAGAGACCTGGGACATGCCCAGTCACGGACTCTAGGGTCTGCAGCTGGGCCGTGCTGCATTCTGGACCAAGGAAAGGAGGCTGGTCTTCTCACATGGTGACAGTGTCAGGCAGGCTGAGCCACAGATAGAGAGGTGTGGATGCATTTGCTAAATTCATGGAAGTCCCACAGATAGTTCAGAACACCCATTCAATTCTTATCCTATGTGTAACATCACATGTCTATGACAAAGAATTGAGAATTAAAAACAAAACAAAACAAAACAAAAACCAATACTTCAAAACATGTTTTCTTACACTTGCTACATGCTAGGCTGTATGCTATCCAGGACAGAGGATGTCTCTGCTTTGCTGGAACACTTTGTGCCAGTGCTGGTGTGCTCTTCCTGGATGAGGCTGGCACTGAAGTCTTACCTTAGTGAGGTCCTTGTACAGCTCTGGGTAGAGAATCGCCATTTCTGGCTTCACATCTTGGTCCAAAACTAAGGAGAACACTGGGAACATGGTATAGATAGTTGCATACCTAGAAAAGCAAGAAGAACTGAGTTGAGTTAGCCTGATGAATGTCTGTGACACAACTGTGACATGTTTCTAGACTCAGAGATAGGTCAAAATCTCAAAACCAGAAAACACAATCTTATAAAAGCAAACCCAGCCCCCTAGGCAGCATCAGTTTAGATCCCTCCTGAGCCTGGTTACCGAGCCCAACACAAGGCTGTTGTATAAACCACAGACTCTTACAGACAGAGGCATCCATTTCAAATGAGAGTTTTCTTACTAAACTCTCACTTTTTGGGACAGGACTCTCACATACAAGAATAAACTGAAACTTCCTTGGAAGCTCAGTTAGGCCTTGAACTTTTCCTACCTCAGCCTCCTGAGTGCTAGGATTACATAGTGTTGTCCCGTATGTCCAGTTTCCTTATTAAACTTTGAACGATACTTGCAGACTCACATGCAGCCCATTTAATTCAGAGATATCTTAACTTTCTTCACATCAGTACCCCGAATGATAGTCAGCACCAAGCCCACCAGCATGCCCATGTCTCCCTTAGGTCTGTACCTAGGCCATTCTCACTGTCATGTTAGGCTACTGTGGAGACATAGGCAGAAGGCAAGTTTGGGGATGGCCATGCCTTTGCGTCATTCCAGGCTGTGACTATGCACAGTGCCTTCCTTACAACTGACTGGTACCTCTTGGTGGATAAGCGCCACTCATTGAACCACTTGCTCATTTGTATAAATACATCTTGGTTATTCCTAATTTGGATTTATTGCAAATAAAACTGATAAAGCATCCACAGTCCCCTTCCTGACACAGGGTCTTATTTTGTAGCCAAGGCTGGACTGGAACTCACTACATAGCCAAGCTGGACTCAACTTGTTTTGCCTCAGCCTCATTAGTGTTGGGATTATTGTCCCAATTTTTGTGCAGATTATCTGTTACTTCTTTGGGCTGGAATGTCACCACAATAGGTTCTAGTCACATAGCAGAGACATATTTAGTTTAGCTTCTTTTGCACGTCTATGATTTATTGCACTCTGCCAAACACTTACACGTAGCCTGTCCATACAATACTACCTGAAGTTCCTCGCAGTGACTTCCTGATGGATCAAACAGGCTCAGGAGATTACAATTCCCATGGCCACAGCCAAGTGATGGGGGGGGGGCAGCAAACACATCTGAGTGTGAGATGTGAGGCCTCCTTTTCTTCATTGTACCACAATGTGGTCAGAAACATACTGGCTCCCCAGAGACACACATGCTCCTTGCCAGCACTAGTGTGCAGGCACGCCACACAATTAAGCTAAGGACTTATCCACAAGCCAATATAATGGACTCTCTGGGTGGGCCCAACGGGATACACAGAGTCTTGACAGAGGGTGGCTGTGCTGTGGGGAAAGACATGCTGCTGTGGAGGCCAAGCCGTGGGCACACCTTCTGCTTTGATGCTGTGTTGAGGTTCAAGAAGGCAGGAAGGCCAGAGAGGAGGGCAGATACTGACAGAGGATGGGTGACTCACAGGACCTGACATTTAACAAAGACCTTAACCCCTGTTTCTGGCTAAAGTTATTAGGAATTCTGGGAGCTGTCCCATGTACTTAGTCTGTACTTCTATCAGCTTGCAGGGGAGAGGACGTGCTCTGTCCGCCTTCTACCAACCAGGAGAGCAGTAGAGTACTGTGGAGAAAGGTGCTGGTGAAATTGCAGAGGAGGGTGGCATCCAAGCTGATCCTTTTCAGTCTGAGCCCGCATGGTCCTGAATCTCCCAGGTGTCCTCACATGCCAAACAGGGATGTCAGGAGGACAGCTATCTCCATGCTACATCAGTGAGGGCAACACCAAGGTCAGGGCTACAACTGTCACTTTCCAGGTTCCTTCTGGTTATAAGATGGAGGCCTGGTTTGAGGTGAATGGCAAACCTTGGTGGGCACAGACAGAAAGTGGCAGGGGATAGTTTTTATTCTGTGGTCACTCACTCTAAGTTAGACTTCTAGGATTTCTAGGAATAACAGCCGAGGCTGAGGATGACAAAAATGGCTTTTCGTTGACTTGGAGTCTTCCTTTTCAGATTCGGTGGCAACACCATGGTGGCACACTGCGGTTCTGACTCTCTTGTCTATAATCTCCGAGTGGCTGTCTTTAAATGCAGGGTTTTATTGCTGCTAGGGACAGACTAGTCATGTCTCTCCCAAAGCTAAGAAGACACCCCAGTGCTTTCTATCCCTTGCTTCCTGGTTAGTGGCTGGTCCTGTTTCCTTCATGGTGAAGTTATATCCCCACTGGGACAAGGGCAGGCTCAGGAGGCCTGCAGCTGTGGCCTACCCGCTTCAACCCCTGTTGATGACAGTGTTGGCATGTGCCTGCCCGCCCCTTGGTTCTGCCCCTCTCATTATGCTACGGGGTCCTTTTATAAAACCTCAGATCTGCCGTGGCTCCTGACACAAATTATGGCTTCCCTACGAAAACAAAATCTAGTGAGAAACTTAGCACAGTCTTAAAAGCCTCAAGAGTCTAGGTGTTTTTCAAATTTTTTCACACTCAACGTAAGATTTTACAGCAGTTAGTCATCTTAAACGTTTATGTGCCAAGAATTACTCAAAACAGCCTGGGTATCACTCAGTATTTTACATGTCTTTTTCCAAATAAAAGCTCACACATACATGAAGCTAAGAGGCACCAAGAGCATCTGTTTTACTTACCCAACCATAAGGAATCCCTGGTACAGCGGGACAGATGCAAAGTAGAAGACTGAAGAAAATACAGCCTTAAAAGACAGAACACCTTAAGTTAAAGACACAGATGCTGGTGGTCACAATACAATGACCCAGTGGGCACCTCCCTCAACAGTGGCACAGCCCTCAGAGAAGCCATTGCCTGCTTTGACATTCTGGCACAGGCTTGCTACCTGCATGGTGGAGATGATGAGGCCCCTGTGCATGACAAACTGGCCAAGTGCTGCAGACCGCTTGTAGCTGTTCCGCCCATGCACCATGAGCAGCCTGCCGATGTGTCTGAATTGCGTGATGGAGAAGTCCGCTGCCAGAGAAGCCTGCTTCCCCTCCTAAAGAACCACAAAGAACCTCTGAGAGACACCACACACTGAGAACTGCACACAAAGCTGAGTTTTAGAGCTCATTTGAATTAAAGAGCATGAGGGGCAGTGCCTCCTTGACACCAGCATGCCATCCATGCATCTGCACCAGGTAGTGTGGGTGAGGCAGAGGAGCCTGTACTAGAACCTATCCATATGCAAAGATGTCAGCTGCTGCTCGTAAGAAGCAAGGAGCTTTAATCTACTAGCAACATAGAAAATAAGAAGGGAGGGGCTATGGTCCTCACTACATGGTCCTAGGCCTCTCCAAGACAATTCTCCAAACCTTTGTTATTTCACATTTGAAAAACAATCTACCTCTGCTTTTCCAAAGATACCATGAAGGACGACAATTGAACAGAGCAGCCAAAGAAAAAGCCAAAACCAAGTTGTGCAAACTTTCTAGATCTTGCTCTGCATATCTGCATTTGGGTGACTATACAGGGAGCAATCAACCCCAACCCTGGCCTAGTTGGCAGGAGAAAGGGTTCCTTACACAGACAATGAAGTATGTGAATCAGGGGAGAGGCACTGAGGTGTTGGGGAAACCCAAGGAAGGCGTGCAGGGAATTAGTGACATTGGACCTGGCCATGAGCACAGAGGGCCTGAAAGAGCTCCTAAGGACACTCCAGCATAAGAAGGGTGCTAAAGGATGCTAGTTCCCTGCTGTTTGCCAACAATCTATGGCTGGGCCTGAAGACCAAAAGGACAGACTGTTGACCTCTCTCCCAGGATGGGGCTTGGCAGAACAGGTCAACTGATGGTATGCTGTGTGTGGGTGTGACAAACACACAAACCTACCTTCCCTTCGATCCCGATCCCACAGTCAGCAGCCTGGATCATGCTCACGTCATTTCCACCATCACCTAAGAAGCACCGTGAGTCAGAGGTTAAATAAAACATCATCCATTAGATGCTTGTGTTCCTGTTTCTCTACACTACTTTTAGGGACTATTAAAAATCCCTGCAATGTAGATGAAGTCAATTTTAGAGACATAATATAAATGTTGAAAAGTTGGCTGTCTGTGCCATTTCACTGTTGACAGGAAGGTGGAATACTATCCCACCACCCACCCATGGCCTGGCTGAAGGTGCTGGGCTCACCGATGGCACAGGTGCGCTTTCTGGTATGCTGGCGCAATAGGGTCACGATGTGGGCCTTCTGGGTGGGTGAGCAGCGGCAGCAGACAACGGCAGGGCATTGGCAGGCTAGCTCCACAAGTTCATGCTCGTAGTACCTCAGGCAGACCTGGGAGACAGTGCTGTGACTCTACTGTCACCATACAATCCTGGGCTCAAGCAGCAGGTAAGCAGAATTGTGGATAAGCCGTGGCCTTCCTCAAGTAAGCACACTTGCAGTTTGAGTCTCATCTATGACTATGCCCCCAACTACAGCGTAACCTGTCCTAGGACAGACAACTTAGTTGTGCAGGAGGGCAAGATGCGAAGATGGGCAGTGGTGGCCAGGCCCCTAGCAGGAAGAGCACAAGGTCTCCTAAAAGTAGTGCATTGTGGCTAGAGAATGTCTCAGTCACAGGCAAGGGTCAATGGCTACAGGGCATTCTGAAGAGTTGCCAGGCTGATGCACCTATAAGGTGTATGTGTTTTTCTGAGGCCAGTAACAAACATCTTTCCCCTGGGCTCTCTTCCTATACCTTCTTCCCCCGGGCTATCTTCCTATACCATCTTCCCCCGGGCTATCTTCCTATACCATCTTCCCCTGGGCTATATTCTTATACCATCTTCCCCCGGGCTATATTCTTATACCATCTTCCCCTGGGCTATCTTCCTATAACATCTTCCCCTGGGCTATCTTCCTATACCATCTTCCCCTGGGCTATATTCTTATATCATCTTCCCCTGGGCTATATCCCTATAGCATCTTCCCCTGGGATATATTCCTATACCATCTTCCCCCGGGCTATATTCTTATACCATCTTCCCCCGGGCTATATTCTTATACCATCTTCCCCCGGGCTATATTCTTATACCATCTTCCCCTGGGCTATCTTCCTATAACATCTTCCCCTGGGCTATCTTCCTATACTATCTTCCCCTGGGCTATCTTCCTATACTATCTTCCCCTGGGCTATCTTCCTATACTATCTTCCCCTGGGCTATCTTCCTATACTATCTTCCCCTGGGCTATCTTCCTATACTATCTTCCCCTGGGCTATCTTCCTATAACATCATCCCCTGGGCTATATTCCTATTTTAGTTTCAGTGCTTCCTAGGCATGTAACTGATGGAGACCTTTGTTTCACCATGATATCAGATACTCAAGGCCCTTCCAAAGTGACATTCCAGTTCTTAATTCCCTACCTTGCTTGAGAAACCCGCAATCTCACAGCCCTGTCTGAAGTGTACAGAGTCTTACTCATTATCCAGGAACTCTAAGATTTTTCCCATCATGAGGTACAGGTACTGGAAGAGCAGTCTTTAGGTCATGTGAGCCAGAAGGCTACCAACAAAAGGAGGGCACTTATCTCCTGAAAGAACAGAGATCTAACTGGCAGCGTCGTGGAGAGTGGTAGCTGTGTGCTCTTCCAGAAGCTGTGGAAACTGCCTTTTCCAACTATAGCCAGGATTCTTGTCAACCTGTTCTACCTGTCTGCCTGAGAAGGGCCCATGGCCACTGTCTTTTGATTTTACTCTGTTCAGGGGAGGAAGATGCCTAAAGCCATGTCAAGGATTGCCTTGGGAGTCTTTCAGCACTCACTTTCACACACTACAACTGTCTTAATGTTTGTGTCTTATTTTTCTTTTGCTTTGGATTTTTCATTTACATCACCTTTAATCTCATGGAAGAGTTGTGCTTTTTGTTATCTATTTACATCATGTTTTGGAACATACTAGAATGTAAAAAAATAATTTTTTTTCTGTTTTTATAATAGAAAAGACTGTTTGCAAAGTAAGGACTGAATGAAACCCTCATTGTACAAAGATCAAACAGACATTACCAAGCCTTAGCAGAACTGCAGTGTGGCTCTACAGACACAGGTGCTTGGAAATACACCAATGTTATGTGATGCCACAATATGAGGCCCATGTCCTAATTGTGTTAAGGTAGCAGAACCAGAAGTAGGGAGAAGAGGAGGAGCTGGCTACTTCAACCCTGTGTCCACGAAGGTGAAAACCACACATATAGTACAAATAACTGGCCCAGTGGCCTCGCCCACCTGGGTTTTTCCTGCAGCCTTCTTTAGGCCCCTACACTCAAGTATCCTGAGAATGAATGCCAGAGGTTAACTGGAGGGCCCATTATCGCTACCCAGGAAGCCATGTGTCCCACAAACACACACCTGGAAATGCTGGTTTGGACAAATGCAGGATAAATAATGTGGGCTGAACTGTCATGACCACTGGAGGCTGATGCTATTAACAATGAGCAAGACCTGCTGAACTCAAGCAGCTTCAAAACAGGAAGGGACAGAGGATCAGTTAGACATGGCCAGCACATGTCCTTAGGACACATACCCATACTCAGCCTCGCCTCCAGGGAGTCCCCACTGGAGACAGGAGATACACAGGCAGGACATGGCTAGCACAGGAGACGGACACACATATACCCACACTCAGTCTTACCTCCAGAAAGTCCCCACTGGAGACAGGAGATACACAGGCAGACATGGTTAGCACAGGAGACAGACATACCCACCCACACTCCTTACCTCCAAAGAGTCCCCAGATATGACCAGCGCACAGTCATGCTTCCTTCTAAACGCGTTCAGCTCCAAATGGGCCTCTCCCCGATTGGTTACCTTCATTGGAGGAAAAAAAAGCATCATGAGTTAAAAATGCAGTAAGACATTTTCAGGGACTCACAGGAGCCGCCTTTAGAATTGTATTTAGAAGCTAAAGTTGCTTAACCTTTGAACAGAAGCCCTGTAATTAGGTCCTTACAAATTCTGTACCTACACCTCTAACAAGGACTGTTTTCTGATTTGTGGTCATGAAGGCATGACAGGGCTACTGCTGTTATAAAAGTATTCTTATAAAAATGTAATGACCAAGGGCTTTCTAGCACTTTCTATAAGATGGGTTATTAAATTGGTGGTGGGGTAGGTGGGTACTGTGAGCAGTGATGAACATATTGGCTTATAGCATCACAAAAAGCCCCAGAGAATTATAAGTCAGGATACCAGGGCTCAAGGAGGTTAAGTTTCCCTTTCTCACACACCAGGTAAGAGACATAATTACATAGACTGGGAACTTATTTAAACATGCCCATAATGTGTGGAAAAATGCAAAATAACTTCATAAAGTTGCTTCTGTCATTTCTGCCATGAGTTTCAATTCATGCCACCCACTACGGCCTAATGTCTAAAGAAGCAAGCAGTCAAAAAGGGTAAAGTCAAGCCATAATTTTGAAATACAAATTTTAGAATAAAAATAATGCCAGAAATCAATGCACTGGCTTTGCATATGCTTTCTGAGAAGATTTTATAGGGCATTAAAAAATGATATAGGAGTGAAATAAATTACAAGTTTCACATACTCCAAATTAATCTCCAATTCATCTTTAAGTAGGTAGGGTTTATTGTGAAATTTTTTCATTTGTGGTACCATAACTCTGAAAAGTCAACAAAAATTGATCGAAAGTTTTATCAGAAGCATTAATAATTTAATTGCAAATAGTAGTCTGCAGGGCGTAATTTGAGATTCTGATGTTTCAAAATAAAATACATTTACATGTAAATGATACTGAAATAATCACTTCTGTAGGTGCAAGCACGTTATTCTGACAGTCACAGACACGATGTCTGCTTGCCCACCATCAATCATGACCCAAGGAATGTCTACTTCTTGTTTGAATTAAACTCATCATAACGAGTATGTACAGTGAACACATAAATTCATTTTCTTTGCACTAGTTACAGGAGAGCTTTTAATCTGAAATGGCAGCAGGCTAAGTACTTCTGCTTTGTATCTGGTCCTTGTGTCAGAGGAGGTACAGCTAGTAGGGAGCATATGTTTAAAAAGCAAAACAGCACCTACTGTAAGTTGAGTAGAAAATCATTGTAGCAAGCCCACTTCAAGTAGGGAGTGACAATATGAAATATATAGGAGAAAAATGCTTTCCAACTGACACCTTGTTTACCATCAAAATGCATTCCTAAGCATTCAAGATGTGTTTATAGAGTAAGAAAACATCTCCAACATTGATTTTGAAAGATATTTAGCAATTACTGTATATACATTTTAACTGTAAGATAAATACTCAACATCTAGCTGGGCATGGCAGCACATACCTTTAATTCTAGCACTTGGGAAGCAAAGGCAGGTGGATCTCTGAGTTCCAGGCCAGCCCTAGTCTACAGATCCAGTTCCAGGACAGCCAGAGTTACACAGAGAAACCCAGCCCCAAACAAAAACAAACAAAAAAACTCCCTACCACCACAACAGAATGAAGTTAGTATATTGTACTCAAAACAAAAACAAACAAACAAACGAACAAAAATCATTTAACAATTCAAAGTGATTTAGAAATGTACTTACTGGCCTGAAAATATGAATGTCTTGAGTTCTGGACACCAAGTGTGAGCTTTTGGCAATGCAAGTAGCCGTCTCTAGTTTATCACCTGTTAGCATCCAAATCTATGAAAAAATTTAAGCTTGTGAACTTCAATAATATAATTTCATTTCTTTAAAGTATCTCTGTGCACAGATGTCTGTCTGTACACCACACTCACAGGATTTTCACAATAGGGCTGAGGTGAAGCAAGCCAAGAGTACACTGAGTCCCATGGAGAAATGAAATGTGGTCACTTCGTCACTTCACTGCTCTTTGACGTTTTGCTGAATGACATAAGCTGGATATGAAGGACAGATGCTATGCTATCCCACACACATGAGGCGTCCAGAGAAGCCACATTCACAGAGATGAAGACTGAGAGCTTGAGTGGGGAAAGTTCCAGGCTGGGGAGATGGAGAGTTATAGAGATTGGAACAGCAATGGCTGCAAAGAATTGTGAGTTTCTTTCATGAAACTCAACCGTGTACCTATTGTGGAATATTACGTTTTTAACTATGTAAAGATGTGCTACATTTGTTTATGTAGCAGGGTATTTGTTTATGCTGCTGGGTAACGATGTAAAGATGGGTTACTTTGTCTGCCTAAGGCACCTGACTTGTCTAATAAAAAAACGAACAGCCAATAGCTTGCAGAGGAGAGACAGGCAAGGCTAGTGGGTAGAGAGAATAAGTAGGAGGAGGAATCTAGGCTTGAGAGACAGAGAGGGAGATGCCCAGGGCCAGAGAGCCAGGCAGCTGCCAGGTAGACAAACACAGAAAAAGCAGAAAAATTAAGACATACAGAATTAAAGAAAGGTAAAAAGCCTCAAGGCAAAACATAGACAAAGAAAAACAGGTTAAATTAAATTATAAGAGCTAGTGGGACAAGTGTAAGATAAGGCCAAGCATTAATAACTAATAATGAGTCTCTGTGTCATAATTTGGAGGCTGGGGGTCTGAGAAAGGCTGATACACCTAGAAGTGGCTTAAAGATAACTATGGTTGAGTGTTTTACATCACAATAAAAAAGTACTAATTTGTTTCGGGAGAACAAGTCAGAATGGTGTGCAGACATATAGCTGAGGCTGATGCAGCAGCCTGAAGATGTGGAGAGGTAGTGCACAGCCAGAAGACCACATAGACCTTCATGTCAGCATAGTTCTTCAGCTGGGAGGAGACCTTCAAATGGGCCATTGGACCACAGACAAACCAAAAAATGTACTTATCTCGAATAAAGTTCAAACTGCTACTTTAACATTAAAAAAGCTGCATACACATGGACAACACATTCTTAAAAGTATATACTCGGACTCCTGCTACATAAACTGTAGGTCAGAACTTTGTATGCAGTCACATAACTAACTACCTGTGAGGCTGTAAAAAATGAATAAAAAGGTTTCTGAGCATGCAATGACCAAAATGTAATTTAAAATCAAATGTATAAGGAACCCACACTGCTTTGGGCAGCGCTCGCCTGGATGCCCCATAGGACAGCACTGCAGCCTGGGTTCTGGGCACACAACATATGCACACCCCATGCTCTGCAACGTGCATGAGAAGTCTGAAATACTATGGCTCTGACTCAGACTACTGAATGCTATGAACTGCAGCAGTTTACTGTACAAACTTTTCTTTTTGTTCCAATGGTTTAATTGTGAAAATAAAGACAGTTAATGTTATAATAAAGTCATTCTTCAGTATGTAAATGTCTGGGTTGTATTGTGTCAGAGTGTTTAATTTTAAAAACTGCTGTTGAGTTGCTGATGTGAGTTTCATTAAAAAAAAAAAGTTCAACCAATTTTGGTTTGGAAGGGGGACAGAATTCCTAATTTCTGACATGGCCATAAACAAACCTCTGCCCCAGCCCTTCACTGTACTTATGCAAAATGGCATTCACAACTATAAAATAAAATAGTGATCTACTTTGAAAACAGTTGAAGATGCTCTACACATACTGCTGTATCAAATATTCAGCCAAGAGTTAATTATTTATATTAAAATAAAAAGGACATTAATCTCATTAGTATGTAAATTGGCTCATCTTTAACAAATGGAAAACTCATTTAAAGAACTATTTCAAAATAAATTTCTTTATGATTTATAATCAGTAAACATTTGGTTTGTAAGACTATTTAGTATATGCTCAGGGTCATTTAAAAAAGTCTCTCAGGGAAAAGGCGATCATGAGTGGAAAAGCTTGGAAAGCCCCGACCTCGATGGGATGGGTAACCAGGGCATCCGTGCAGAGCAGCTGGAAGCCCCTGCATTATTAACTTGATCATCATCAGAGCCGCTCAGGTTTTTATCACATGGACAGACGCACTTGTGGGTGCAGGAAATAGACGAGCCTAGATGGCACACGGATTACTCCAGTGAAATCATCAGCCAATGTTCATTAGCTTTACTGTACCTATGATTAGGAAATAGGACTATGACAAACTGAGCAACCACAGTGTACACTGCCACTTCTGTCATTCAGGAGGCACAATGAGATATGGCTGACAAACACTAACTTCCCTTCTTCAGAGCAGAGTCTACTCACGTGGGACACAGAGAAGAGTGAGGAGGACAAGGCCCATAGACACAGATCGTATGCACTGTAGCACAGAATCACTACAAACACCAAAGTCCTACCAAGGAACACTTAACACTGATAATCTAGCAGGCAGTTATAAAATAGATTGTAGGTTACTTAAAACACTCAGCCATTTCTAAGCCCTAACCCTAACCCTAACCCTAACCCTAAGAAGCAGCTTCCCCCAAATGAAAACTTACACTGTAAATGCTAGATTTAGACATAGGAGATGAGTGAAGAAGAGGACAGGGGCACAGCAGGGAGGGACAATGTCCAGGGAAAATGCCACCCTGGAAACCAAGTCCACTGGGAAAGGCACTGACCCTCACAATTCATGACAGGAATGGCAGCTGGATTCCTGCAGACACCAGGAATGCACAAAGGAGCATCTGGGAAGTTGGGTACTGTGTGGTAAGGGAAGGCCTGAGAGAGAAGGCAGTTTCCTGAGAGTTATGGAGTGGTCCCATGCGGCCAGGGAAGAACTCATGTGTGGTGTCACGAGGTGCAGGAGAAAAGCATTTCTGCACCCGAATCTGCATTCTTGCATGTCCCTGCAGGAAGGGTTCCAGCACTGCACTCACAGCTGGACAGAAGTGCAAGAGTGGCATATCGCTGCAGCCCCCCACCAAACTCTGTGGCAATGGACACACACTGCTTCTGAAGCAGAGCTAGCTGAACAGTAACAGCTTCCAAATGACCCCACCCAGCAACTGGTTCCTGTCTACCCCAGCTCTAGAGCAGCATGTGAGAACTCAGAAAGTGCAACTCTAAGCTACACAAAGCTGGGCTTCTCCTGCCTAACCTCCTCCCTAACTAGTGGTATGGCCACCTGAATGCAGCCAGGCCCAGATGCCTCCTGGGTAATCTGGTTATGGGGATGCACAGGCTACTCCAGGGAGGTTTCTGTTCAGTTCTGACAGTGAGGAAATAATTGGCAAGGCAAGTGTGAACCGCAGGCGGTGTGCACCAGCCAGAAGCTGGCGGGCCCTAAGACTCTCCTAGGGAAATACATGTGTCATGAGGAGGACAGGGTGGGAGCCCTGTTTCAGAAAGGCTATGCTGTCTTGAGTGTGGAAAGACAGAGTCAGAGAGAAGTCTGGAGTAGGGCACTGTGGAGACTGCTGGAGCCAGGACAACTGGGATAATGAGGAGGAAGCTGTCTTTTGCACCCCCCTCCTCCATGGAGCACACGGGACAGTATTTCAAGGAAAAGATGAGCTGGTACAGCTGCCGGCTGTACCTTGATCCCTGCATTCCGGAGCATCTCGAGCGTGGGCCTCACATCAGCCTGGAGCTGGTCCTCCACCCCAGTGAGGCACAGCAGCTCCATCTCCCTCTCCAGGCTTTCCACAACTGCAGCTACTTTCAGTGTCCGGTCATGGATGCTCAGTTTGGCTTGACTGTATCGGCTCTGAGGACAGAAGGAATAGGACACAGATATGTGCGTGCTTCATGTGTATGACTGTATCAGCTTTGAAGGTACAGCGGACAGGTGAACATGTGTGTAAATGCTCTCTTTGTGGAGTGAGTTGGTTCTAGGGCTCAGGGGTAACATGCTGTACAAATGCTAGGTATAAGTGCTCTAAATATTTGTAATTGTTTACTACATGAAAATTTATTAACTCTGGTTGAACTTCCCTAATTTGGAAATGTGACATAATTAAGTCAGACACATCCCGAGCAATGACATCACACTATAAAAGCTTCAGATTATGAAGCATTTGGATTTAGGGGCTCTGGGCAACTTAACCTGTCATCTATTATGCAGATATCCCAGAATTCTGAGCAATGACATCACAATATAAAAAGCTCCAGTATTTGGGTTTAGGGGCTCTGGATAACTTAACCTGCCATCTATACAGAAATCCCAGAATCCAGACAGCTCCAAGGCCAGAAGCACTTGTGAGGCACACTCAGTCTCTGCTGAGGAAATAAATGGAACTGCTGGCCTCTGTGGACACTCAGGCCCCCAATCACTCTGGCAGCCTGTGCCCCACACTTCAGAAACACAGTTTGTAACTGCATAGGAAGGTTGCACTTCAGTCAGAAAACAAAGTCCTCCTAAGGAGGGAAGGCTTGACTGACAAGGACTGAATAACTCACTTCAAAGTCCTGGTACTGTTCTTCTGTCAGGGTCCTCTTTGCCACCACAAGGGTCCGCAGCCCCTCGCGTGCCATGTTTCCACACTGCAAGAAAAGGGGCTCTTATTTGTGGCTCCCGGAGTACCTGGACTGGCAGAAATTGGGCCTTGGGGACTCATCAAGGCCACTCTCCTGCAGTGCTACAGTCCGGTTCTCACTTCCCTGCAGGCCCACTACCTGGAAGCATAGGAACTTCAAGGGCCATGGACCACAGCAAAGCTGAGTGAAAAAGTACAGCCAAAGCCTAGGAGAGTTAGAGGAAACCTGAGGGATATGTCTTCAAGTTCTCCCTATCACTGTGTCCCATCCCACAGCAGGTCTCTACCATAATTGCCCCACCGAGGGGGTGAGGAAGGGACAGAGATGGGTGGGCCTGAAAAATCATAGCAGCCTGTGTTCTTGGGCAAAGCATCACACTGTCTGCTTCGGTTTCATCATAGAAACGGCTTCAACAGGGTTATTCTGGAATGACATTAGTCCCCTGCTGTACAGTCACATGGCAGAAATATAGCACCACAAACATGCACAGGGTTGATCACACAGGGTCACCACTCTAGGCACCAGGTTTGGGGCTCAAGTCTTAACTGGATAAAGAAAGAGGAGGCCATGGATGAATCATCACCTTATTTATATAATAAATGGGAAATAGGAATACATTCAATAGGTGTATAAAAAGATGCTAATCCATTCATAGTGCATAATAATTGATAGGATACTGTTTTCCCCCACTGAAAGTAGGAAAGTTTTAGCTGGGGCTAAGGGAAAGAAAGGATTTGGGGTATAATACAGGCTGTGTTCTAGGCACACCTGTTTGAAGGTAGCCAGTGATTCATTTCACCATCTAAATTTCTCCAGTGGCATCAATTCCACTGCTAGTCATGCCACTTGTTAACAATGTGATTCTAAACAAAGGGGTTCTTGCCAAACTGTAGCCAGGAATCAGGCTCCAAGGAACCCGAGTCAACATGCATATTAATAAACATGCCCAGGAACTTTGCTAAACCACCTTTTATCTTGCTCTCGATAAAGTGAAAGGCTTTCAGGCTACAACAGAACTATACCAAACATACTGGTTGTGAAGAGGCAAAAGATTTATCTATGGCAAGCAAATACAATTTGAACAAACAAATGTGCATAGGATTTTTAATGAAGTTATCTTTCTGAACAACAATCTGACATTATCTGTCTGTTGCAAGACATTTATTGATTTGACCTCATAAAGCTAAATAAATTAAACAAGTATTTTACAATTAATTGCATGTCATTATGACCAAAAGTAATTTTTATGGCATTTTACTAGGTCTTCAGGGAGTTTAATTTATTCATGTCTCTGATTAAATCAAAGTGCCCTGAAGGAAATATTGATTCATATTGCCAGGACCATCGTGAATATCGGGTGTGGCTGTTGTGCTGACAGACCATCTCTGCGGTCTGACAGTGAACAAGAGATCAAGGCACCTGCAATATGTGTACACAGTGATGTGCTACAATCTTAGCAACCTTAGTTTTAGTTTTAAATCCAATTACTGATCAATACACAACTTTAACAATAATATTACAACCCCACAAGGCTAACTATAAATATACTTGTTTAGGAATAACAATATAGAATTGCTTATGTTTGTACTTTATTTTCTGTTTTTTTTTTAAAGAGAACAAATTAGCATTAGATTAAAACAAAAATTAAAGTCTCCTTGCAATATTGTTACAACAGACACACAGACACACACACACACACACACACTCACACAGACACATACATACACACTCACACACAGACACAGACACACACACACACACACACACACACACACACACACACACACACACACATACACACATAAACATTCATACATACACACACACACACATACACACACACACACACACACCTAATTGGTTATGTATCTAATGCTGTTTTAGACCTTTTACATATCTGCACACTTCATACACTAAACAAAAATGGCAATTATTTCTATAGGAAGCAGAGTTTATGTAACTAACCAGGGTTTTACCCTCATTTATATGAACATGGAAGGAACTATAAATATTTAGAAAATTTAGTGGAAAAGTATTATCATCCCTGGCCACCTATCCATATCTGGTTTGAAAGTGATGGCACAACTCATTGTAATGGTACAAGTGCAAAAAGACACACTTTTCTGTCATTGTCTTACTACATTTCATGAATACATTTTGTACATGCTGAGAATAGCTTGCTTACCTCCTCTTCTAGCCAGTCATTGTACTGGACAATGGTGGACATTGCGACATCAGCACCTTTCATATAGAATGTGATTTCTGCTGTGGATTCATCCTGTAGTAGGGTAAGAACAGACACAGAAGACAGCTGGGCTGCACTGCTCCCTGTAAATAACCACTGGCCTAAAGGAGAAGCTCTGGAGGAAGCAGGTCTCAGAGAATGGACCATGGCAGGGAGAGCCAAAGTCAGCAAACACCCAAGATGCTGTACCTTAATTCTTGAGTCAGATCTGGTCTGCAGTGGAAGTTATTAACGCTCTCCACTTTCCCAAGTGTGACAAAATTTCACTATTTAACAAACAAATTCCAAAATACAATTTTGGTACTGGTTAAGGCAACCAGAATAAAGGTATGTAGTAGTAAAGTTAAATTCTCTGACATTTGATATAGTTTCTGTTGAGGACAAAATAAAACAATTTTAATTTAAGTATTACTACTGCCCTCTACTTGTTCTGCTTCAGTGGTTGTAGGAGAATGGCTTTGTCAATTGGAGCCACATATTCTCAGGTCATTTATTACTGAGGTGTGTGTGTGTGTGTGTGTGTGTGTGTGTGTGTGTTACTGAGGGTGTGTGTGTGTGTGTGTGTGTGTGTGTGTGTATGTGTATGTGTATGTGTATGTGTATGTGTATGTGTGTGTTTGGTTTTTCGAGACAGGGTTTCTCGGTAGACCAGGCTGGACTCTGCCTCCTGAGTGCTGGGATTAAAGGTGTGCACCACCATTGTCCTTCCATGTAAGAGTGGGTGGGTGTGTGTGTGTGTGTGTGTGTGTGTGTGTGTGTGTGTGTGTGTGTGTGTTTCCTAAAGAAACAACAATAATGAACAAAATTATTCTGGGGGAAGCTTCGTATGGATTTAGCATGCCTGGAAAACAGTGACTGGAGTAACTGATGTGTGAGCACAGCTGGCAAAGCCATGACATACTCTGACAATGATGCCCATCCGCTTGCTCTCCGAGGTGAAGGGGAACATCTGCAGGATGCAGTAGGTCAAGACCTGGCCACTGGGGGTCTTCAGCTGCATGGAAGCAAGGTCCCTGCTGACCAGAGTGAGCCCGACACTCTCCGTCCATCGCACCAGTGCCACCTGAGGAGATCAGAGTGTGTGAGCAACTGCTGCCTAGAGAAAACTATGTGAAGGGACACAACACACTGGTGTGCAGACACAACTGAGATACAACTGATGCAGAGAAACCAAGTGTGACGACTTTCATTGCTCTCCCCCATGCTTTAACAGGTGAACAAGAAATGATTTGTTAAAAGAAGACCCTTATAAAGACTACTTTGCAATGTGTACTGACTGCATTCCCAAAGCAGATGGCTTTGGACCCTGTGAAAGAATCTCTCACAACCCACCCTGGACTTGAATCTCATGACTTGTCCCAATTCACCACCTGTGGTTCTACAGGTTTCTAAGGAGACAACAGTTTTATAGCCTCTTCAACCTTTTTTTCCTAGCAGAAAAGATAAGCTGATACCTCATTAATGAATTCATGATACTAAACACCAGGGTGACTACATAACCACTACAAATGTAAGGCAGGCTACCCTGGTTTCATTTTGTTGCTGTGATGAAACACTGTGGCTCACAGGAGCTACATGAGGAAGTAGCCTACTTGGCTTAGACTTCCAGGTCACATGACTGAGGGACATCAGGGCAGAAGCCATGGGGACACAAGTTTGCTGGCTCACTCTCTGGCTCACTCCCAGCCTCATGTATGACAGCTTTCTAATACAGGCCAGGACAACCTGTTTAGGGATGGCAGCACTCACAGTGGTCTGGGCCTTCCTGCAACCATCCCTTACAGACTTGCCCATAGATTAATATGATAAAGAATTACTCACTTAAGACTCAGTTTTGGGTGATTTTAGTCTGTGTCAAGTTGACAATGATAGCTAGGAGAGAGACAATAATGAAGCAGATGCCTAGCCTGGGCTCTGAGCCCTGAGTACGGCTTTGACACACAGCAGTTCTGTGTCTAGGTTTTCTTTTGTTGGGTTTGCGTTCCTCTGTGATGTGCGCCCTGTCCTAAGGCTGAAATGATGTAAGTAAATTCCTGGTTCATGCAGATGCTCAAACACAGGAGCTGTTCTTACTTATAGCTATTTATTACAAAAGTTAAAAATCATTAGTGGCAAAATTAATTTTAAGTCAATAGTGAACAGTCTTTATGACTTTTTCTGGAAAGGGGGTTATCTTTAAAGCAATCGCATCACAGAAAGTTGAAAAAGCACTTAACCCTCTCAGCACCTAAAGGATGCCAGCTCAGTCCAGCGAGGCCACGGTTTCCCTCCGTGGGCTCAAGGTGCAGCCTTCCCTTGTTTCTGTCCCACAGGTGACCTTTGCCAGCAGCCAGGAATGTACAGTTCTGGCCAAGCACGAACGTCTCTTGGGGAACAGTAGGATCATCTATGCATTCACTTTTACAACTGCTTAGGAATCATTTTAAAATCAAGGTTTCTAAGTAATTTCCCACCAGCCCAACTGCTTTCAATTTTTTTTTTTTTTTTAAAGAGTCTGGGATGGAGAGCTGTTTCTTAACCTTTAAAGCTGAGGTCTCCCAGGGCACACAGCAGGCACATGCATGAGCATCCAGGGACACTAGACCAAAACTACTTCGTGTTCTTTAAGACAGAAGAATTTGCATAAGAGAATGTGGGGTGTGATGCCAGTGCTCCCTACCAAGAGGAAGCAGGCTGCTTTCTCCCTCTGTAGGCTGTTGGGGTGTGGTAGAAATGGACGGGCAGGCCTGCAGCCACACTGCACTCTTCACAAGGTCTGACCTGGGCTCTTCATGCTCTCACGTGGCATTTCCTAAAGCAGTGGACTGCACAAGTATGAGGGTTGTTTAAGGTGATAAACACAGACCTGGGCAGTTCTAAGTTACCAGTCACAAATTACATTCAGTGCACTAAGGAAAATAATTATCTTGTTATAGTGTTTTGATTCTTTAAAAATAGTGGGGTTATTTGATGACTAACAGAGTGAAACTGTGCTCAAACTGTCAAATGGACTCACAGCAGGCTAGACTACAAAAGAAGATATGATAGAACATAAGGCTAGAGTAAACCAAAGCCTTTGACCTTCTACTGCACTCCGAGGAACTGCACCCAACTCTCCTGCATTTTAAGAGTACACTATTCTGGATACACACAGATATTTCCCTCATTAACTTGAGTCCTCCCGTCCTCCTCTCAGCATGTAACTGACAGTTTTCCTTTTTGTAAAAAACTTGAAATCAGTACACTCCAACTCTGCTCACTTTGCTAGTCTTAGTAAGATCTCTGTGCCTCGCCCTAGAAGATAAATCATACAAACTGTAATGGAATGCCGGGTGCTTGTCGAGTACTGTGAGAAATAGCCATCCAGAAATTCTTTGCTTTGCGATTCCTGTTTGTGAGGAATCAGCAAAGGATTTATCTTCTAAGGCTGCCACTGACAAGGCCAACAAGCCACTGTATCTTTGCAACTTTGTCATCTTTACTGGGGACAGAACATCAACCTGTGTGACTGCAGAAAGATGTGTCTATGAAAATCAAATGACTTCTTATGTTTACCACAACATCGGCTGCTGCTTGCTGGTTAAGACAGTGTGCAGAATGTTCAAGGATGTGTCACAGAACAGCTGGAACTAAAACTCTTACTCCAAGTCTCCAGGTTCTGGGAAGAGAATGAAGAACATCCCCCAGTGATCTAGTCCTGTAGCAGAGAGAATCAATAGCTTGCTTCAAACTACAGTACTGAAGAAGAAAGACATGGAGATGTTAAGAGAACAATCCCATGTAGAAGAAAGCCTGGCGCCTGACCACAGTGCCTCTTCCTATTAAAGACAATGACTCCACAAGCTGCAAATGATCTAATATGCCAAGGTTAATTTTCAATTTACAGTGAAAGGTTACTATTACACTGTGACCCGCAAATTGCATCTTTCCGTGAATACCCTATCATCTCACAGTGCCCCACTGCAGTCAGGACCAGGCTTTCTATATTTGGTGACTCACATCTGTTTATTATTTAGTTTATGCTTGGCTTCACAGCTCCTTTTGAGTTAGCAGCTTATAACAAAAATCGTTTAGCTACTTACACCTAGCCCAGCGTTCCCTCCAAAAAGTTCAATCACACTGAGGATCACATATCTATATTCAACTAAGCAAATCAGAGTTAAGTTTTCCATAAGACAGATACATTAATTATTGTCCAGTGTGAACTGCTTGGGCAGAATTCTTTTGATAATACAAAGTTAAACAAGTGACTGGGGGAAATGGCCTTCCTCGTAGGAGAACTGCTGTGAATTCAGACCATAGTGTTCACTGCCATTCCCTAACAGATAAATCTAGCTGTCAACTTCCAGGGGCAGCTACCCTACTCTCAGCAGCTCTCCAGTTCCAGTCTGAGTTTTGAACACTGGGGCAGTTACTGAAGAACTACAAATTGAAGGAGATCTCCAGTGAATACTCTTTGTGTATTTAAAATAGATTGGAGGTATTCTTTTGACGACTTGTATCTGATGACATTATGTATAAAAATAAAAGCAAAGAAACTTTTGGTGGCACTGGCAGCTAAAGTCTTCTTCAAACAAAGATATACTTGGACTGGGGATGAGCCTCCATTATAGAATATATGTCCCCAGCAACAAAATAAAAAAAAAAACCCCAAAACCACATCCTTTAGAAAAGGATGCTTAGGAAAGCATGTCACATGCTCCAAAGAAACACATAACATTAACATAGTAACACAGCACTACTATATGTCTGAAGTTTCAGGGGCTGTGGCCCTTTTCATGTTTCAACTTGGATCCTTGGAGAAATGAATGATTCTAAAAGTGGGTGGAAAATGAACATAAAAAGTGCCTGTAGCATCTCCATATGCACAGAAAACAAGGCAATGTTTAAATATGGGAAGGAGTGCTAGAGGGGGTCAAACCCCAAGTATAAAACAAGCATCTGTGAATCCATTGTGAGAAGTAAATGTATGACTAAGCACATCATCAAGAGAGCATGGAGAACTCTCTCATGCAAAAGCATCATTTATGCAGGCACTTAACCCTCAAAGAGGGGGCTGTAACACCCCTTTTGACCCGGGTTGTTTTGATACAGTTTTTGTTGTTACTGTGTTTTGAGACAGGGTCTCTCTACAAAACCCTGACTGCCCTGGAACTATGTAGACCAAGTTGGCTTCAAACTCACAGAGATCCCCCTGCCTCTGCCTCCTGAATGCCACCACACCTGGCTGACCAAGAATACAGCATTAAATGAAGAAATGAAAGGGTAACCTTCAGTGGAGACTCCTGAGAAATACACCTGGGCCAAGTGACCACTGTCAGCATCAGAAGTGCTGCTTCTGTGGACTTTGACTGATGGAATGCAATGTGCTCTTCTTTCCAGGCTCCTAATCCCATCTACTCTGGAGAAAAATATCAACAAACCCAAACTGAGAGACAGTCAAATCACTTGGCCAGTCACCACCTAAATCATCATGAAAACACGGGAAGTGAGAAACTGCTCCAACTAAGAAGAGTCTAAGAGAAGATCCTTAGATTCAAAAAGAAGAAGAAGACTTTAGGTAAAAACAAAGGGTATCTGGGAAAGCATGGCTGCAGTGTGTTGTTTGCTCATATTTTCCTGAGGACTCGAAAGTCACACTTTGTGTACACTTGTGCAAACTACCAAGTGACTGTTCACAATGTTTCCTCCCTTTCTATAATCACTTTACAGCAATGGTTTAAGCGGCTCTCTTCTCCATAGTGTTTGACACCTGGTGTCTGACTCCTAATTCTCCTGTGTAAAGAACACCTGGGTCACTACCCATTGCTGACATTTAGACCCCAATATGGATTTTTCTGTATCACTTCTTTGTGCAACTAGGTGAAGACCCCAGGAAATCATGGTCCCCAAACATTTCTGTTCTCATCACACTGAGCTAAGGTTAAAATGGGGAATAAAGGTGCTTTGGAGACGCCAGCATCACCATGGGTAGCTGCATGTACTGGATAAGAGCCAAGGTTCTAAGCTCCTGCTGTGCCAGGCCTGTCCAGCTGCTTCCTGGAATGCTCTTCACAGCTCTGTGAGAAAGCAAGATACCATTCT